CTCGGTGTTTGCCATCGGGGTTGGGTTTTCGTCGCTTGGCAACGACGTTGTAACACAAGCCAATTCACTTCGTGAACTCGGCAACCAGGTGACCGTTGTTTTTTTTACCTCTGTTTTTTTTTGGCGACAACCATACTGGTGATCGAGTAGATCATGTTGTTCGGGGTGGAGAACCCTCATTCCACGTAAGGGGGATGATCGCACCGCGTTGTGTTAAAATGGTAAAGTATCCTCGAGGCAGTTACACAGTGCTTATAGAGTCCGTCCGGTCAAATTTTGCCACCGTCCCCCAGCATCCAGCTGGAATATCTTTTGAACGACTGACGTACCCCCTGGTGGTATATGTTACATCCTAAGAAAGCTCTGTTTCGAGCGAATCATTTGATCGAAGCACTTTTTTGTTTTTCGTTTTGGTTGGCGAGAAAATTGCGATTCCGTCCAGATTTTGGCAACAATCCACTTGATTTTCACGGTCGAGGGTGGAGTCTATTTATTTTTTCAGACCGGTTTTGAACGTATTACGCCGAGGAGCTTCTAGCGACTCACCCAGATTTTTTTGCGACAATTACCCATGGAGAAATGAGCCAAAAGGCTTCTTTCAAGCGTCTCCAGGAGGTGGATATATTTGGAGTTTTGCATCGATATTTTGAAAAACTCGGCGGATTCAGGCGAACTGGACCTGCGCCCAGGACAGTTTTTTTCTGTTGTTCAGACTTTTTTTGGGGGGCGAGATGTGGCCTCGTGATATAGCAGTACCACCTGCACCACGAGGACACACCGAAGCCCACGACAAGCCTTCCCATCGCTGGACGGCCCCCCGGCAAAAAAAACAAGAAGCGCGGCGCCTTCCAAACCAGAACAGCTGGCCGGTTTGGCCAAAAGTCGCACCTCCACCAGAGCCACTCGTTGCGGACACTTCACCACAACATGACATGGACACATGTTATCAAGGAGACGAGGAGGACAACAGCAGCAGCAGCAGCAGTGAACACAGCAGTGACAGCAGTGAACACGGCAGCAGCAGCGCAGAAGATGTCACGTACGATGGCAAGAGCAAAAGGCAGGCGCGGCGCCCCTCTCGGCCTTTACGTGCTGTCTGCAGGTATCACCCTGAGTGCAATGCTATCGAGCGTTTCTGGGGGTACACAAAGGCTATCGGGTGCCGCGCTTGCGACTACTCCATCCAGAGTCTGCTAGCGAGGCTTCCCATCACGCTGAGCACCGTCTCTCTGGCACTGTGCCGGAGGTGTGCCCGCGTGTCCTGGCTGTACATCGATGCCAACAGCTGCAGGCTTGAGGGCTGCTTGCAAACCCGGGAACTGAGGAAGTGGACAAACCACCGCTCGCCCACTGATACGGCCGACAAAGTGATGCTGGCTCGTGGCCAAGCGACAACCCCGGAGGAGCGCAAGGCTAAAGAGTTGGCCGCCCTTGCCTCGGCAAAGGAGGCCAGGTGTTCTTCTAACGAGGCCATCGATGAGATGTTGAAGAAGTTCAAGGCCGCAAGACTCATCACATGAGCGAAGAGTTGAGAGCAGTAGCGTCGCCGCGAATTGATAGACAGATAAATAGATTTGAGTATCTAGATATGGTAGATAGACATTATAGAAGTACATCGCAGCTGTGAGAGGTGGGTGTCTTGCGTGTAGATGAACGAAACGAGGCTGCATCCGAGGCGTTGTGTGTTGTTGCAACAGCACTTGTTCTTGGTTGGAGAACTGATGTCGGGGCGAGGGTGATCGCACAGGCAGTGTGGTTAGGAAGACAGACCTCCAGCTCGTAATATTGGGGCGAGCGAAGTACATGCTATTTCGGGACAACTGTATGGTCTATTCGGGTTAATTAGGTGCCCTTGTCGGGGGGTAATTTCGGGGTAATTTTTCAAAAGATGGCCTTGCTCCCCCGATTTGTTTTTTGACACCGGATTTCGATGCCTTTCGGTCCTGCGGTAGGTGTCAACTTTATTCCGCGTGTTAACTCTCAAAGTTGACCGAGAAAAACGGGGGTCCGGTGGTGGCACTTTTCAACCAGACGGACTAAAACTGTCTCTGGAAGTGATTGCACGAGAAAATGAGTTCAAGTCATAAACGTAGCTGGCATTCGTACGCAAGGAAGTAAGCACAAGATGCCGGACACCCTAAGCAGGATGCAGCGCACCCTTCATGCGACTCGCCGAATACCTCACGGCGCTTCGCGCGCTTGGTGATGTGAGAGCCTGGTCCGGTGCGAACCCGGCCTGCTCCGTCCCGGCATTGTCGGCATTGTAGGGATGCGAGGTCAATTGTCTAACGACTGCGGCATGCACTACTATGAGTATGAGTACAACCCCCCCCCCCCCCCCCCCCCCCCCCCCCCCCCCCCCCCCCCCCCCCCCCCCC